CAAATGCTCATCTGCAACACACTGTCACACGCTGGCCGCCACACGCTAGCTGCTGCACACTGACACATAAATATATAGCAGGTAGGAAAGCGTGCTGCCAAAATTCGCTCGACGCTCGCTTGATTTCACACAAATACAACACAAATATTCACCCATCTACTCCATCTTTGTTTCTATTTGAAGAACAGTGTTCACTTGTTATAAAAACATACTGTCTGTGTTTGTTGTAACTGAGCTGTGTCACGCGAAATCACACAAAGCCTGACGAAGTTCTCGCGTTCGCTCCCGTTGCGCAGTTTATGTAAATGGCTGTAGGAATCAGGAAACACCCACCGGCGCTCTTCGTGACCTCATTTTTGCGCTGCAACGCTACAATGTTTTTGCAACGCTCCACTGGGAGCTTGGACGGGGCTCACACGGGAGTTGGAAAACAGCGTAGTAGTTTCCCAAAATGCAGTGCGCAGCCTATAGCCCTGTACTTGCAGCCATTTACATAAACTGCGCAACGGGAGCGAACGCGAGAATTTCGTCAGGCTTTGTGTGATCTCGCATGACACAGCTCGGTTACGAACACAGACAGTATGTTTTTATAACAAGTGAACAGTTCTTCAAATAGAAACAAAGATGGAGTACAATGGTTGAATATTTGTGTTGTATTTGTGTGAAATCAAGCGAGCCTCGAGCGAATTTTGGCAGCCCGCTTTCCTACCAGCTATATATTTATGTGTCAGTGTGCAGCAGCTAGCGTGCGGTGTACTTGTGTGTTGCAGGTCTATGAGCATTTGACCGGAATTTACAGGTGATTATAGGTGAAATAGAGTAGAGAAACATTAAGACTTTGGTAGTAAATACATTTCGTGTTTATTTACCATAATTTTTTTTTATTGAGACGTTCCAAGTGCCTGTGACCACTGACTGCACTGGCCATCCTAGTCCGCAAATGCAGACGCTATAACTCCGCTTTGCTAATCTGAGGGTGCGGGTTTATCATGGATGGTGCCCCATTAGTACATTACTGGGGTCTGTGTCGGCTCGGACTATGTATGGCCATCCAAGCACAGTAGGGCATACGCTGATATACAGTGAGCATTCCAAAACATATATCAATATTATCATGATATACGCCAACGTAGCAAACAAAACAATATAAGCTTACTACTACTAGCCATTGAGCTTTATTCGATCAGTTTACGAAATGGCTATTAATAAATAAATTATGAGATTACGAATGTTTACCATAAATAAGAGACACATGTCTACAGCAAGGATGTAGGGCTAAGGGGGCTGCCATATTTTAACACATGAACAGAGCTGCCTTCACGAATCACGGGTACTGCAGCGTGAAATCATTTTCTATTGGCGAGAATATAAAATAATTATCTTGGCCATAGAAATACTATAGAAA